GATTAATTATTAATCAAATAATAATATTTATAATTAATATACTAATCTCATAATATATTAACAAACTATTTATTTCTATTTATTAATCATATAATAAATCAATGAATTAACCTCTTTTTCTAAAACTCATTCCGTCAATTAGTAGTTTTAAGACAACCTAATAAAGGTTTTGCTTTTAGTTCAAGTATATATATCAATTTAGTTATTGACTTAGACACTTAATCTAACATAATATAAATGATTGATGATGCTTTAAATATAGATCAACATCACCTTTTAACTACGGTCCTTTCTTGTACACATAATATATAGCCTTTATTGGCACACCATATACTTTTGTGTGTGACTTATGCATTACATTTGCTTGCTTAGTACAACTTTTGCATTATTCATGTCCTTTATTGAATTTTATACAACCATTAAAGCATATAATGCCATGCTTTGAAAAAAAATCAAATCCTTTTCCTTTAGCCATGTAGATCCCACATGAAGACTATGTTTCACAATTACCATCTGTTGATATCAATGCAGTACACCTATAGAACTGGAACCTTTTTTTATTATTATTATACTTCTTCTTAAAAAAATTTGGCAATGTAGCCGATGTAGAGGGTTTTAGTGGGGTGCATACACCCCACTTAACATGTATTTTTACATATATTTTATATAGAAAGGTCATAATTAAAATTCATTTTCAATTAATGCCCCCATACTAATAATCGTTGTACACTATACACCCCAATTACAATAATCTCTGGATCCGCCATGAAACATATTATACAATTTTAACCACTCTTTTTTTTTTTCATGCCTTACATATATCAAATGCAAAGAATGACTTTGCCTATTATATCGTCTCATGCATAAAAATTTCCATCCATAAGAATGCGTCAAACCAGTGAGAATTATACTATCTTCAAAAATCTGTAACTTCATTAGGATCATCCAGGGCCGATCCAGACTGTAGGCAACCCGGATGACCGCCCAGTGCTCAGATCTCCAAGGGGCCCAAAAATTATGGGCTATGTAATGTATATATATATATATATATATAAAAATTATTTCCTAAATAATTTTTAGGGTCTAAAGTTGGTTCAAACTCAAACTAGCTTCAAAGATAAACAATTTGGTTTGCTTGTTATTGCTAATTAAACGTGTTTATAGTGATGAATAAATGATATAGTTTTTTTGAATCTTTATTATATTTGTGTTTAATAGACTTTTTTTTTCTTTTCGCCCCAGACCCATATACGTTTGGACCGGCCCAGGGATCATCATTATTTTTTTTTGTTCCATATGAACATATATGGTTCTAATTAGGTTGATATTCACCCATCCAATCACCATTAAAATGAATTCACACAAAGATCTTTTCACTCGGCCTCATACACCACACATTGGGCAAACTTGTCTTCACAAAGAGCAAACAAGTCTTAATCAATCACTGTTATAATTAATCCAGCCGAATCCATGAACCTTATTCCTCTTGTCTCTACAAAAAGGAGGTTCTATTCACAAACTTTGTATAACATAACAACATCAACCAAGGATGAAGAACCTAGTGTGCTCTAATACAACATGTTAGAAACACATCACAAAACAACACACGAATATGAATTAGACCATATAATATATACCCACTTCTATTTTACATATAATATTCATGAATTAGACAATATAATTAAACACTTGAACTCGAGCCTTGCACCGTTTATTATGGTACCATGACAAAGATGACTTCTTACATAGAATATTTTGCCCACGGGGTTCTCATTCAAAAGGTAAACAAAGAAATTGACAATCCACAAATTGGACTCAACCCGGAATGAAATTGTACTAAAATGCAATAAACGTGATTATATGATTGGTATTACAAGAAAATGTGTTATTTACTTATTAAGGAATAAGGAGAAAAGGGAACATCTCACCAAGGAAAAACATCAAGCTCTGTCAATTGATCAAAGATGTACAACCAAGAAGGAGATAATTCTGATTCAAGGCGCAATCATTTTTTTTTAATAATTCCTTCAACCTCAATAACTTGACGCTTCAAGTGTTTTGAAATCCGTAGGCACTAGTAACAACTCGGTCTTTCTTTGAACAGTGGCTCCAAAGCTCTCAGTCATATCCAAGTCTTCAAAAGTTTTGCCATTCGGGAGCTTCCAGTTGAAGTAGTAAAGTATATGAGCCAAAGGAAGTTCCACGTTGGCTAAACCAAGGGCAGCTCCAGGACACATTCTCCTTCCTGCACCAAACGGGAGATACTCGTACTCTGAACCCATTACAGTGATGGAGCTCTTTTCGAATCTCTCTGGCATGAAAGTTTCAGCATCTTTCCAGTATTCAGGATCCCTGTTGATGGCAAACACATTGACAATAAGTTTTGTCTTGCTTGGTATGTCGTATCCCCCCAACACACATGGTTCCCTACACTCTCTAGGCATAACCAACGGTAGTGGTGGGTGCAACCTCAATGTTTCTTTGATCACTAGCTTTAGGTAGTTTAGTTCTTGTATATCTTCCTCTTGGATCCTTTCCTTTCCATTTAGTGCTTGCCTTAGTTCTGCTTGAACTTTCTCCATCGCTCTTGGACACCTTATCAATTCCGAGATTGCCCATTCAATTGTGGCTGATGATGTATCTGTGCCAGCTCCAAACATATCCTGCATCATTTGATTCAAATTGTGAGTCTTCAAGAGAAGTAGTGTGCAACAAGCCAACAATCAAATTTATCGATAGGCATAAGCAGATACTTACCAAGATGACTGCTTTGACATTGTCAGCTGTCAACGGAAACTCAGCGCTTTCTTTCAGTCTTAACAGAACATCAAGTAGAGTCTCCTGTGATGAGCTTGTACGATTTCCAGGGTGCTCGGCGATGATATTGTTGATCAAATTGTCAAGCTTATTGTGTATGTTGGTTAACTTACCTCTCTTCCCTGAAAGGTGGTGAAGCAACGTTTTAGAAGGAAAGATATCCGCCACATCAAAACCTCCAGTCAACCTTAGTATTTCTTTAACTAATTCGGTAAATTTCCTTTGGTCTTTGATTCCTTTACCAAACGCTGCCCTACTAAGTATGGTAGCAATCATCTTGAAAATGTTTTCTGAAAGATTGATTGGTGATCCCTGCCCAGTGGATCGTATATGCTTAACCAGATTCCAACACTCCTCCTCACGAAGGGATTGAAAGGACTTCACTTTCTTGTTACTCAAAAGCTCCAAGGTGCAAAGCTTTCGCAACTGCCTCCAGTATTCACCATAGGGAGCAAGGACAATATCGGTATTGTGGTATGCAACAATCTCACCAGTTAAAGTCTCCGGTCTGTTTGCAAAAGTAATATCATACGTTGTTAGAACCTCTTTTGCCCAACGTGGGGATGAAACAACGATCGTGGACACTTCTCCAAGTTGTAGATGCATGAGAGATCCATGCTTCCTTGCTAACTCCATGACACCACGATGCGGCATCGTACCTATAAAAGGATGGTTTTATCATCAGCAAAAGTAAAGTTCTATGCAAAAAAATATGAGATTAAAATGTTAAGGATTCATAGCAAAGATTTAAGCAAGATTACATACCTATCAAATGGTGCATATGTCCGATTATTGGTAGTCTCCATGGCTCTGGGAGCAGGTTTTTCTTTGATTTGGGACGTGTTGCTAGCTTGAAGAGGATGAAGATGATAGCGGCTAGGCCAAGGGTAGTGGTGACAGAAATCTCCATTGCTTGAAATGGAGAAACTAAAGTTAATGAGGTCTGGAATGATTTTGAGGTAATAAACGGCGACGTTCTTATATAGATATTTTTATGACAGTGGATTCGTGGTTCTTAACAGCCACAAAAATAGACCGGCTATGGTGGACTACCATGGCTTGTTTACTAATATATTTTACATACCATAGTTGACTTGCTAGTTAGCCTGTGAATTGTTATTTAATCGTGTATTTGCCACAAATTCCATAAACTGTCGTCCCTTTTTGAAGGTTATACTATTTTTATATTAAAATTTTACGAAACCAAAACTAAAATTTACAGAAATTTTTTATTACCCGTCAAAAAGGAAATAATGCTAATATTGTAGCATACAGTTTTTATTAATTAATTTTAATTTAAATAATAATATAGTTGCATATGACTTCAAAACCTTGAGTTTATTTATATGGTTTTTGTTTCGAGATAATATTCTTTGTAATAAATCAAAATCTTTTTTGTATATGTTATTCTTTCATTTTGATCTTTTTTGTTATTCTTTCATTCATTTGGACAGATAATATTTTATATGATTTTTAAATAAATGTTTTTTCATTTGTTATTTTTCTTAATTTTTATATTTTCTTAATTAAAACATCACGTTTAAACCCCATTTATTAATTGATTTAATTGAAAATAATCAATAAAGTATAGTATTACTATTAATATATTATATTTAATATGCTTTTTTTTTAATTTTAAATTTCAATCTAAAATTTAAAATTTAAATAAATTTTATTTAAACTTTTATATTTAATTTTCTGTTTTACTAACCCGTATGATATACGAGTTTCACATTTAGTTTCTATAATCACACAAAAATTATTAGGGGGTTGTTTAGGACATATGAACACCTTGAATTGGTCAACATTTTAGACGTTTGGTTCAGCCACATTTAAATCGGTCGGCATTTTGGTACAACTAGTATTTAAAAGATTTGTGATTGAATCAAAACCATCAAAACTTCTTCCGAACGATTAAATAACATAATGAAGATATGCTCATATGGTTGCGTGAGCCATGAGGCGTGAAACATACCTCATACTAAATAGTCTAACTTACATATATCATTTTATTTTTTCCTTTTCATTGCGAAAAAATAATTATTAGATTTCTTATTAATGAAATTTATGTTTAACTAGTTGCAAGTCACACATATTTTAATCATGTATATTTGTTTCTTTTTATTAGGATCTAGATTAACCTAAAATTGTTTGATTTAATAAAGCTAAAAGTATGGATGGAAATGATAAGATCGAAAATATTATTATGGAAATTTTCCATCGCCATCCTCATCTCTGTTTCAAGTAAAGTTTTTTTTTATTTTTTTTTATTTTTTATTTTTTTTATTTTTAATTATATATATTTTTTATTTTTAACTCCACTTAGGTTTTCGTTTTGGGTTAGGATTCATTTCAATTTAGGTAATTGAATAGCTATATTTCTGCTTCCTCATCGCATATTTCCATCATGTATATTTGTCTCTTTTTATTAGGATCTAGATGAAGCTAAATATATGCATTCGGACAAGTCCTTCGACTTGTTTTTTCAAAAGTCTTCTCTACTAATAAAACAGTACTGAAAACGCCACTTGGCAGTCCCTTAACCTCTCCACCTTACGTTTTCCCGCTCATATATTATAAGTGAAGTTCCCACTTTGCCCTTCTGTTCGAAAACATTTTCTACATCAGCAAACATGAATTATGAATAAGTAAATAATAAGTAAATAAGTAAATATGTAAATCAGGAAGTAAATCAGGAAATTTAAAATTGATTTCTGTCGAATATGCAATATCCATCCCAAAAAATCAGCTAATCAATTTAAATTCCATTATCAGCTAATCAATTTAAATTCCATATAGTGTCAATCCCTAAAAATCAGGCAATCAGTTTACGCATAGATGATATATTTCAATACAACTTGAGAAGTCAATACGATTCCTGTTAACGTGATTTATTCAATACGATTTCAGAGATCACATATTCATCGTTAGGTTACATTTCAGAGGTGACATATTCATCATCAGGTCAGCAAAACTACACTGTTCTTTACCTTTTCTGTTTCATCAGTTTTATATTTTGTTTTTTTCCCTGTTATGTATAAGAGAAAAGTTTTTGATACATATGTTTACAAGTAAAAAAACATCGATTCTTTAGTGTAAAAGATAAAAATCGCATAATCATGTTCACAAGTACAAAAAACATTGATTCTTTAGTGTAAAAAAAGGGAAACACGTGTTATATTTTATAAAAAAAATGATCTTAATGTTATGTTAACATCATGTGAAAAGTAGATGTCAGTAGTTTTCTATTCAAGTTTTAAAATCATCAGTTTTCTCACAAATACTTTAATAATAATCAAAATCAGTTTTCTCACAAATACTTTAAGAATACAGACAGGTAGGTAATTAGAACAAATATATGTTTTCTTTATACATTATTAGTAAAATGGCAATTTACTTTCTTTTTGGCGAATTTTTTTATAATCTAAACAATAAATTTTAGAGTTCAAATAACTGTTTCCCCTTACTTACCCTAATTAAGCTAAACACATGATAACAATGGATTTTTGTATCCATCAAAATCAAATAAAATGGCAATGTACTTTCTTTTTGGCTATTTGAATTTTTTTTAAGTAAATATGTAAATCAGGAAGTAAATGGCAATGTACTTTCTTTTTGGCTATTTGAATTTTTTTTAATCTAAACAATAAATTTTAAAGTTCAATTAACTGTTTCCCCTTACTTACCCCTAATTAAGTTAAACACATGATAACAATGGATTTTTGTATCCATCAAAATCAAATAAAATGGCAATCTACTACCTTTTTGGTTGATGTATGTATTTTTACTTTTTCTTTTTCAATGTTTGCTTTTTTTTTTTTATATAATTTTGTTTTTATTTTCATTGCAGATTATAAGTGTCAATTAAATACCAATGTACTTTCTTCTTGACTGTTTGATTGTTTTTTTCTGTGTGCTGATTATAATTGTCTAATTTAATGTAATTTTTTTTTTAACTTGCAAGGTACAATGGAACATATTACTCCTATAAAGGAAATTGACTCAATCAAGGACGATTTCACAATTAAAGTTCGGATCATACGTCTTTGGACTCAAAAGTCAAGATTTGATGCGAACGACACATACTCGATAGAAATGATTTTGATGGATGAGGAGGTATAAGATGGATGTATTCAATTATTATTTTTATAAAAAATTATTCATACTCATAAGCAATTATATTTAAATATTTATTATTTCATTTATTTTAGGGAAGGAAAATTCATGCATCATGTGTGAAGAAATGGTTTCCTAAATTCAAGCGCTATTTAAAAGAGGATAGTTCAATTTACGTCAAGAAACCTAACGTCGCACCAAATACTTCAAAATTTAAGTTTGCTCATCCGGAATCAAAACTAAATTTTTATCACGATACAATTGTAAAAGATTGTGAAAACTTTTCTGGATCTGCACATGGCTTTCATTTTGTTGACTTCAATACTATCGTTTCTAACAACATCCTGGAGTCAAACTCTTTTGGTTGGTTTATTTAATATTAACTTTTGCTATATAACATCCTAAATTCTTTCTTCGTATTACAATTTGATATTTTATATTAAATTATATTTCCTTGCTTTTGTAGATATTATTGGACACATTTTTGAGTATGGGCATATGGATACCTCAGAACAAGATAAATCAAAACACAAGATGCTCTTGCATCTTCAAGATATAGAGTATTCACCATTATTACAAACAAGTAATATAGCTTCATTTATATTATTTACAATATTTGTTTATTATTTCAGGGATACTAAGCTTAAGATAACTTTGTGGGGTCATAATGCATACTACATGCATGATTTTCTTGCTAACAATAACAGCCTTGCTCCAGTTGTTGTTATTGTTCAATTTGCCAGGGTGAAGTTTATTAATGGTTTGTAACTATTTTTAACAAGCATAATCTAATATATATATATATATATATATATATATATATATATATATATATATATATATATATATATATTATTGAATAATCAAATTTATTTGGCAGGTCGTCCTTTTTCATCCACCTACTTTGATGTTAGTAGGGTTTTCATAAACAATGATATCGATGAAATTACAATCTACAAAAACAAGTATTTTCATTTAGAATTTCCTATGTATTATCAGATTTATTTATTTCATACTATAATAAATTTAAATCATTTCTTTGTTGTAAATGAACAGATTGGTCTCTGAAAATGGACAACAACTGTCATCAAGTGGAATTAAAATGATTGCATCAAAACAAGACACAGAACATGATGACTTTCTGAAAAATCATTTGTTTTCTAACATTGAAGACTTGTTTGAACCTTTGGAGGTACTTTACATTATTTTTAAAATTGTTAGTTTAATGCACTTATGTTTTTAAATTTTAAATGTTTTTTCATATTTAGAGTATATTGTTATAACTAAACTAAAATACACTTTCGCAAAATAACATTTATTAACAATGAGCATTATTTTAATATCCAGGAAAAGACAGTCATTATTGTTGGTACTGTTAAGGGAATACGTCAAAATATACGTTGGTATTACCTTGCTTGTAGCAACTGCAAAAAGTCAGCAAAAGAAAAAGAGTCTTCAACTGATAAGGTTGATGGTTCTCATGAAGTGGCCGAAATCGTTACTTATGAATGTGCTAATCTTAAATGCAAAAATATCAAAATTTCGGTTATTCCAAGGTATTAGATATTAATTTTATATAATAATAATATATGTTTATCATAATTGTCTAATATAATATAATTTTATACTTTATTTAGATTTAAAATCCCACTTCGGGTTCAAGACAACACAGGAACATTGACTTTAACTTTATTTGACCAAGAAGCAAAGAAGTTGTTCAAATACACAGCTAAAGAGTTGTATGATAAAAACAAGAAGGTATTATTTTATATTTTAACTTGGCATCAGTTTGGATTTTTTTCAAAAGGTGTTTACAATTGTGTTGGCCTAAAACTTGGCATTATATATTTTACATACAAATTTTCTAATGATATTTATTTACATTTTAGCTTGGCAACAATTTGGAATTGTATCCAATGGAGTTGAAAGTTGTGTTGGACAGAAAGTTGGCAATTAAGATTGATATCACACGTTACAATGTCGATAATAAAAGTAATCTTTATGGGATATCAAGATTAACCGAGAATGCAGACATAATTGATGAATTGGAAAAAAATAATCTTACTCCACAGGTTTTTTTCAACAATTATATTTTGTTTTTTAACACATTGACCCAACAATATCTGACTCAATATCATTTGTTTTCATCTTGTGATGCAGCCTGCTAATTCTGATTCATTCTTGATTGGTTCTTCAGATGTTGGTTCTCATGACACCAAAGTTCTCAAGGTTTTAGTTTTTAAAATATATTTCTCAAATATTTTGTTTTAATTTATAACAACTAACTAAATATTTTTTTAGGATTCTTTTTCACAGACCGGTGAAAATTTAACTCCATGTGCTAGGGACAAGTCAACTGCAACAAGTCCTATAAAATTCATTTCTACACCAATTGAGTTGAAAAGAAACCTTGCTACATGCATAGATATTGATGAAATGGAGAATTTGTCTACTTCTAAAATCCTAGACTGTCACCACCAGATGAACAACCAACTCCTCTTTTGGTACCCAAGAAAGAAAAGTAAATGCATTTTACTTCGACAAACAATCTTACTTCGTGTTTAATTTTGATTTCGCATCATAGACTCCTAAGCCGTTTACGTTTTTATCTTTCTTGGTTTTGAATGTTTTTTTTTGGGATTTCATGGTTGTCATTTTTGTTTCTTGAAAGTACATTCGGACCATTGGGTTTTTTTGTAGTCCTATAATTTGGTTTGCCATGTTATTTTGTTTTTCCTACAACTTATTTTAAACTACATTGCTTTATTCCCACAAAATCTTGAAGAATTACATTCATATGTGTAATTATGCAGTTACTTATATGTTTCATTTTACATATCAATTTATTTGACATACCACTTTATTTTACCTAAATGTACTTCTGTATTTACACTATCTCTGTAATTAACTAACTTATTTACCCCTAATCAACTTAAACACATAATAACACGTGAACTGCATTTGACTCCAATATTGAACAAATCACATTTCACAGTCCTTCTTGACTTCGCATTTTTCTTCACGAATCGTCCCTCAATCAATAACCCAATTAACCCAATTGCTAATCGAAAATCAAAACTTATCTGTTTTCATATGCGAACCCAACTGATTGGCTTTTCAAAATCAAATTCGCAACTCCAAATCGTTCGATTATTCGTCCCAATTCCAAATAACAGATCCTTCGTATGATTCATTTAATAACCAAGGCTTCTTTTACTTCAAAATGACCATATTGCCCCTAACTTGATAAGTATTTCATATATCGCAATTAACAATTAAGACAAATCAATCAATCAATCAATTTGTATAAGAAAAATGCGAAATTCTTAGCTTTCTTCCCCAATTCGCATTCTACTGTAAAATTCACATTCTTCATTCACCCTCTTTCTTCGCATGTTCCAGTCATTTTTTTTTAGTTCATTCGCATTTGAGTTGTTTGTCTCACCAAATACGAAATGAATATTAACCATAATCACCTTCGTATCTTTAACCCCAATCCATACAACCTCATATGCGAAACCCAATTTTGATTTGTATTACCAAATGCGAACATTTTTGCTTTTACACGTGAACTGCATTTGACTCCAATATTGAACAAATCACATTTCACAGTCCTTCTTGACTTCGCATTTTTCTTCACGAATCGTCCCTCAATCAATAACCAATTAACCCAATTGCTAATCCAAAATCAAAACTTCTGTTTTATATGCGAACCCAACTGATTGGCTTTTCAAAATCAAATTCGCAACTCCAAATGGTTCGATTATTCGCCCCAATTCCAAAATCAAATAACAGATCCTTCGTATGATTCATTTAATAACCAAGGCTTCTTTTACTTCAAAATGACCATATTGCCCCTAACTTGATAAGTATTTCATATATCGCAATTAACAATTAAGACAAATCAATCAATCAATCAATTTGTATAAGAAAAATGCGAAATTCTTAGCTTTCTTCCCCAATTCGCATTCTACTGTAAAATTCACATTCTTCATTCACCCTCTTTCTTCGCATGTTCCAGTCATTTTTTTTTAGTTCATTCGCATTTGAGTTGTTTGTCTCACCAAATACGAAATGAATATTAACCATAATCACCTTCGTATCTTTAACCCCAATCCATACAACCTCATATGCGAAACCCAATTTTGATTTGTATTACCAAATGCGAACATTTTTGCTTTTACACGTGAACTGCATTTGACTCCAATATTGAACAAATCACATTTCACAGTCCTTCTTGACTTCGCATTTTTCTTCACGAATCGTCCCTCAATCAATAAACCAATTAACCCAATTGCTAATCCAAAATCAAAACTTCTGTTTTATATGCGAACCCAACTGATTGGCTTTTCAAAATCAAATTCGCAACTCCAAATGGTTCGATTATTCGCCCAATTCCAAAATCAAATAACAGATCCTTCGTATGATTCATTTAATAACCAAGGCTTATTTTACTTCAAAATGACGATATTGCCCCTAAATTGATAAGTATTTCATATATCGCAATTAACAATTAAGACAAATCAATCAATCAATCAATTTGTATAATAAAAATGCGAAATTCTTAGCTTTCTTCCCCAATTCGCATTCTACTGTAAAATTCACATTCTTCATTCACCCTCTTTCTTCGCATGTTCCAGTCATTTTTTTTTAGTTCATTCGCATTTGAGTTGTTTGTCTCACCAAATACGAAATGAATATTAACCATAATCACCTTCGCATCTTTAACCCCAATCCATACAACCTCATATGCGAAACCCAATTTTGACTTGTATTACCAAATGCGAACATTTTTGCTTTTACACGTGAACTGCATTTGACTCCAATAATGAATATTAACCATAATCACCTTCGCATCTTTATGTTGATTATTTTAAACATGGAACATTTATGTCTATTATTTATAATAACTATTATTTTTGTCACGATAAATATGTTATTTTTAATAAATAATCAATAACCAATTGTAAACAAAATTTATATCTTTGATTCTCTAAAATTAATTCATACATTTTTGTAATGGTTGCAGCATATTTACTTATCTTCTGTAAATAACCTATATTCAACCAACTATTTCCTAATATTCTATACTCCTTTTTTAGATGAAATTTGAATATTAAACTAATTTTTAGTTGTAATCTTTTAAATTCCAAAAAATCAGGAAGAAAATTATATCTAATAAAGATCCAACAACAATAAAATCATATAATCGTAATCTTTTTCCAATATTCAAGCATATAACTTTAACTCAAAACGTGAAATCCAAAATTTTGAAACACCTCATTCGTCTTCTTAATGTTCAATTGTTTCTGCGATTTTTTTTTCATTAAGCTTACATCAAACTGCTTCGTTAAAGTTGTAATCCTCATTCCAGTTCTACCTGCAAGATTTCCATATCCATATGTCAGGTTAGTATTATCAGTTTAGATCACTTTGTTTTCTCTATGAATTTATGGTTGAAATTTACAACAATAATCAATATGCTGGAATAGATGTTTTTCTAATTGTAAAAATATAATCTTGAATAGATACATAAGATCAATAAGCAATTTATAATCATCACGATTATCGTGTATCACTCAATTTTACCTTCATTGATTCCATGGAGATCTAGGGTTTTAACCCCTGATATCATCCGAACCCACGATTGGTTGAAATTGGGGAAACAGTAGATTTAAATCGAATAAACCCTAGGTTGGAAATGAGGATGATGAGTCATGATGCTAACATTTTAATAAACAAATTAATAAAGGTAACTTTTTAAATACATTTACTTTATTATCATTATTTATTTAATTCTAACTAACTTCAATTGTATTATATAAACATATTATGTACATAATTTCACATTTCATTTCCTAACCTATGTCTTCTTATGCAGAAAACAACAGTAACATGTACCACATGCAGGCCAAAGAGAAAAGAAGACAAAGAAAAATATATTTGGAAAATAAAAGATCGAAGAAAATAAAAACAATACCAAACGTTCCAAGTATATCATTACAACATCTCTTCAAAAAAACCATTAACTATAACCGTATTAGTATTTTATATTCCATCTTTTACTATTATATAGTTGAATACATATATTTACAAGTTTTATAAGTTATTTCTATTTGCAGATCAATCAACCAACATTGTTCGTCAAACTCAAAATGTCAATTCATTTACAACACCTGCAAAGCATAACACAACCATACAATACTGACCTTCATTTACAGATGTTAGAACTCCATTTTCTAACATTACAAATGTTATAAATCCGTTATCTAACATTACGAATGGTAATTATTTATGGTTTTTAAAATATACTATTATCCATTATGTAAATATTTATTTATTTAGTTAACTATTTTATTTTTATTTTATTCAGATAACATTGGTTTCGATAAATATATCACTTCCAAGTTAGCAAAGAAAAGACAGTACCATGTACTTTCAAATGATATGACATCAAAAAATGCATCTACAGTAACAACTTCTTCATCATCAATCAAGTTAAATCCAGGATGTCATAAATTAAAAACGAAGACAAGACATTTATCCTCTATCCCATTGATTGATTTGACAGAAGATGTAGAAAATATACATCAAGTGAACAATGAAAATTGTATAGTTGGTATCTCAAATGGTAATGAAAAAATAAAATCCATTTTACATTTCAGATACTATGTTCTATATAATTATAAAATTCATTGATATTTTATTCAATGCTTTTATTTTACAGAATATTTGGATCATGGTGATCAAGATGTTGTATGTCAAACATGTCGTGCAAAGTTATGGAGAAATGAATCCATTAGAGGTAAAGAAAATGGGAACACGGATTATTCATTATGTTGTGGTTACGACAAAGTTCAACTTCCAGACTTAAAGAATGCACCCCCTACTTATGAAAGAATGTTTCGAAATATGGATTCAAAAAGCAAACACTTCATGAAAAACATTCGACGTTACAATTCAATGTTTTCTTTCACGTCGATGGGTGGTAAAATTGACTCTTCAATCAATAGAGGAAACGCTCCTTACATTTTCAGATTGGGTGGTCAAAATTATCATAGTATTGGAAGTCTTTTGCCAGCAAAAGGATCGGAACCAAAATTCTCTCAGTTATACATTTATGACACTGACAACGAAATTACAAATAGACAAAGATCCTTCGTAGGGACGGATTAAAATTGTTAATTTTAGATAAGGATGGTAGTCTCACAAATAAAACTTCTAATGTCGTTTATAAGGAAGTTTTTGGGAATTTATAAACAATGCTTTTCTACCATCTTTTATTTACTTTTCTACCATCTTTTATTTACTTTTCTTATATCGTACTTCATCTATCATATTAATTAATTAATTTTTACAACTTTATTGTATTTGACTTATTCATATTAATGCTAATATCACTATTCTTCATTTTTTCTAAACTTTCATATCTTTTTTTTGTTACAAATTAAAAACTATAATTATATTTCAATTTATCACCGTGGATTTCCACGGATTTAAAAATATATAACTAAGGGTTTAGCCGTCTATCATTTAAATAGCATTTCCATTTTATACTCATTTACATAAGCTTTAGCATTGTGTAATCGTCCGTGAAATAAAAAATAGTGTCTTTATATCGATTGTACGTAGTAATATCATAAATGTTTATTTCTCTCTCTCTCTCTCTCTCTCTCTCT